GTGGGGAGAGTTCCCGAGGGAGACGTCAGACGCTTTTAATCTTACCCTTGCTTCCTCCACCTAATCCGTGTCCATTGTAAGCGCAATCATGAAGCTGATCTCAGATCTGGAGCCTCAGATACTGAGAACGGGAATGTTGTACAATGTCTGTGAGGATTAGTCAGACGTAATTAAGCAAGATGAGCTTCACAGAAACAGGGTCGTACGGCCAGGTGGCCTCCCGCTAAATTGAGAAGTGACAATAAATGCGTATAGTTGCATCGCTTTGGTGTTTGAAAATAACGTTCTTTGGGTATTCATTTCAAAATCTCGTTCTTATCCCCAAGGGTTTTATCCGTAAGCCGATGCTGTCCAAACTGAGCGCTAACAATATATTTGCGCAAATGCCATTGAAGACTCTTCATCTCTTTTAGTGCAACATGAGATTAAAGGATAATATTTATTATTTATAACATTTTACAATATAAATCATATTTACTTACTAATTTAGTTAGTAATTCCAGTTCTTCAACTTGCCAAGGCAACATTTCTAATTTCACTTTATTTTAATTAGTAAAAAAGTTTTTACTAGTTTTAGTTTCAGTTAACAGTAATAACTCCGGTTTGAACTAGTCAGTTTTAACCAGTGTTGGGGAAAGTTACTTTTAAAAGTAATGCATTACAATAAATGCGTATAGTTGCATCGCTTTGGTGTTTGAAAATAACGTTCTTTGGGTATTCATTTCAAAATCTCGTTCTTATCCCCAAGGGTTTTATCCGTAAGCCGATGCTGTCCAAACTGAGCGCTAACAATATATTTGCGCAAATGCCATTGAAGACTCTTCATCTCTTTTAGTGCAACATGAGATTAAAGGGGTCATATGATGCTGCTAAAAAGAACATTATTTTGTGTATTTGGTGTAATGAAATGTGTTTATGCGGTTTAAAGTAAAAAAAACACATTCTTTTCCACATACTGTACATTATTGTTTCTCCTCTATGCCCCGCCTTCTGAAACGCGTCGATTTTTACAAAACTAATCGGTCTGAAAAGCGAGGTGTGCTCTGATTAGCCAGCTATCCAGTGCGTTGTGATTGACCGAATACCTCAAGCGTGAGACGGAAATGTTACGCCCCTCACATACTGTTGATGCCGTGTCCCGGCCGGAGCAACGACACAAAAACATGAAAACCCATTACAAACGAGGCATTTGTTGCATCCAGTGGGGACATAAATAGCTTTGCTTTCACAACGAAGCACACAGCGTCTTCACAACATGGCGGCGGCATCAATACTACAGCGAGAATAAAAGTTACTCCTTCTTTCTTTGCGTGAACATTTGGGCGGCGTTATGCAAATCTTCCCACATAGTGAGGTAGATATGTGGGGGCGTGTTCGAACGAGCCGTTTTAGGTAGGTGTGGCTGACTCTTAACTTTTATAAAGAATATCTCTTTGGATTTGAGACTTTAGTCTTTGCAACTTTACAGATCTTCTTTATGCATCAAGAGCTTGTAACACTCCAAAGAGAAAGGAAAAAATGAAATTGCATCATATGACCCCTTTAATAAATCACAATTCGTCATTATAATGGGATAGCATCATTTAGGATTAGTTCCTCTTTCTATTTTAGATGATTAAAACAAAGTCTTGTGTCACAAAGAGGTTGTTGTGTTTGAGCTTAGGTACCTTTTCTTCTCTGACTGGGATACTTTGAATGGGGAACCGGGTTTGGAGAGGGCCTACATGGATGGGACCAATCGCTACGGGATCATCAGGACCAAACTCGGCTGGCCTGCTGGGATTACTTTGGACCTTGAGGCTAAAAGAGTGTATTGGGTGGACAGCCGTTACGATTATATTGAAACCACCACTTATGATGGCTTGCACAGGTATCTTCCTGGGGTTGCAGAGATGTTTTATTTGGAAATGCATGCTGATTTTTATCCGGAAGTCTATTAACTCTTATTTGAATTCTCCAATAGGAAAACTGTGGTCCATGGTGGGTCTGTGATTCCTCATCCGTTTGGCATTACTCTGTTTGAGCATTCGGTCTACTACACTGACTGGACCAAGATGGCCGTTATGAAAGCTAATAAATACAGCGACAACAGCCCACAAGAGCTCTACAGGACCTCTCAGAGACCACATGGCCTGACTGTGGTCCATGCATACAGACAGCCCTTTGGTAAGGAGCTGTGTTATGTATATTAAACTGTTGGATGTCGGCAACAAGATTGCAGTGCAGTTTTGGTTCTGGAAATATAGCATTGCATTGTGGTTTTGGTTATAGAAGTACTATCAAAAAAGAAAAAATTATACGCAATAAATCAAACAGATGAACCCGTGTTGTTATTGTTAAGTAAAACTGTTAAAATAATGTTTGTTCATTGAAATAAAGCTGAAATAAAATATAACTATTAGATTAGATATTAGAACTTAACTTAAAGGGATAGTTCACCCAAAAATGAAAATTTGATGCTGTCGAGGACGCGCTCAGGACAGTTCTGACATTGAGGTGAAAATCAGAGGTAAAAAACGATATAAATACTGTTCAGTTTCTTGCACAGACCGATCGTTTCGTGTCTTTACACATCAATGTATCGTCACGAGCCGCAGGGTTTAATTTGGTTTTGTTTGTGTATGTTTTTTTGACTCTCAAAGCCGTGATTCCCATTCACTTCCATTATATGACTGACAGACTGCAACTGTTTGAGTTAAAAATCTTTGTTTGTGTTCTACTGAAGAAACAAAGTCACCTACATCTTGGATGCCCTGGGGGTAAGCAGATAAACATCAAATTATCATTTTTGGGTGAACTATCCCTTTAAAAAACTTACATGGAAATAAAAATATTGGCTTTCACAACTGACTGAAATAAAACAGGTTAGGCTGAAGCACTAAAATGACAAAAACTGAAATAAAAAAAAAACTAAAATGTAAATAAAATTATTAAAACAAAATAATAAAAATTACGAAAGCACATGATAAAATTGCTAAAACTTAAACTAAAGTAAAAAAAAAAAAAAAGAACTAGAAAGATAATTCAAAATATTATTAAATTTTACAAAAGTAGATAAATATTACTAAAATAACATGCCAGTTTTACCTCAGATTATATTACAACTTTATTACATTACAACTTGTTATTATATAAAACTAAAATTCTGTTTTTTAAAATCAGAAGTCTTGTTTTTGTGGGAATTAACTACTTATTCTATAAAGCATTGCAAATGACGTAATTAAATTAAAAAATGTGTGCAAAATTTACTTGTTTTAAGTATAAAATACAAAATACTTAAATACAAAAGTTATTTTGCATGTTAATTTACATATGCAAATGTACAAACACATCAAATATATGCAAATAAATACATGAATAGTGTATATACAAAATGTTGAATATTTATATATTTTAATATATTAAACTGTATATATGGTGCAATTTATGTTCCCAATGACTTTGTTTACATCTAGGATTTGTGTTTGGTAATGCGCTCACAAGTGGTCAGCGCTAAATACAGGCGAAAACATGGCCCGAAAAGTTTTGTTATTAGTCACTGAATCCACACATGATGATAGCCTGATTGCATTGCATCATATCTGTAGTTTAAACATCAAGTTAATCTGTCCTGTTGTATCCAGGAATCACTGTGCTTAGGAGATGTTTTAAACATAGCCACTTTAAACAAAAATACATCATTAAATTATTGCTATTCTTTTTGTGATTTATTGACATGTACGTTTGTTTGATTGGACAGCAAGTAACCCCTGTGGCACCGATCGAGGAGGCTGTGAACACATCTGTGTTCTGAGTCACAGAACTGATAACGGCGGTCTGGGATATCGCTGCCGCTGCCGGATGGGTTTCGATCTGCATGCTGACGGCAAGAGATGCGTGTGTAAGACAGATCTCAGTCATACCTTGTGTCTTTGGTTACCATTGCATCTTTGCATCTTCAGGTCGTATCATGAAAAAACATCCTTTTGAGATGCAACAGCTTGATTTTTTAAGAAATATGCAATATGTGTCTTGCAGCTGTGAGGCAGTTTCTGCTGTTCTCCAGTCAGCTGGCGGTCAGAGGAATCCCCTTCAACCTGTCCACGCAGGAAGACATCATTCTCCCCATCACAGGAACTCCATCTTATTTCGTTGGAGTGGACTTCAGTGCTGCGGACAATTCGATTTTCTTCTCTGATACGGGAAAGGACATCATCTACAAACAGAAAGTTGATGGAACCGGTGAGAATGGCTGGTTTTTTATATGCATATATCAGTAAAGCTGCTGTAATCTTCTTCCAGACATATATGCATTTTATACATTTGTAAATGTATGTATGTCATCTTTTTATGTAAAAATATATGAATTTAATCAATTAATTCAATCAGTCAGAATACTATAGCCTGTTACCAATAAAATATGATCAACATCAACAAGAGCCATCATTGCATTGCTAAGGTGGCACAGAAGCTGGATCTGACATGGCATGTTTATTTACACAGACTGTTTAACGCTGCTCAGAGGTGGCATACATACATGTATTTTAAACAAAGTTATGGCATTAGTGTAATTTTAAATAGCCTACATATTAAAGCTTATAAAATGTAAAAAACAGGAACTTATTACAGGGTAGCACTGCAATATTATGTCGATTATTGCCCATAATATTCTAATAATGATTATTAAAGCTGATTAGTAGAATGCTTAAAAAAATGGCAGGTCAAAATCTAAACGCTTCCAATTGGCCATTGCATTTATGCACTCAACAGATATGTATGAGACTGTATGTAAAGGCCCGTTCACACCAGGAACGATAACTATAAAGATGACGATAAAGATATAGTTGTAAAAATCGTTCTCAGTATTAAAGAATAGTCCACACCACAACTATAATGATAAAGGCACAGAGAAGCGATATCGTTGGAATCACTTTAAGAACTTTTTTTTTCCCAGCTGATGAACGATAAAAATATTTACAGCCAATCATAATCAATCCTGCTATAACGAGCTTGAGAATTTAAAGAGGTGGACGAGCATGCGGTCAGAATAAACAGACGATATCGTCCGCTGGTGTGGACGCTAAAGTAGTTTTTTAGTATTTAATAATAACTACTTAATGCTAAACACTGCATAAAACAATGCATGAAAAGAAATGTTTGGTGCATCGTTAGAAGATTGAAATGCAATACCATAATCAACACTTTTTTATTCATTCTTACATTTCACTTATTCGTTTCGTTTATTCATTTTTATATTTCAACCACAACAGTTATAAACAAGTTGCTTTTTTTTTTAAAGGGGCATTTTTTGCCCCGTATCTTGAATTTTGCGAGCCGGTTTTAAAGGTAGGGTAGGCGATTTCGTAGAGGCTAACAATAGCAAGCTAGCTTTAAAAGCATAAGATCCCACCCTCCCTGCAAATCACTCTCCAAAGCCACGCCTCCTCCAAAACACATGAACGCACACAAGCAGACCAGAGATGAGAGATGACATTGTGGAGGGTTGAATTCAGCGCTGTCAGATTACCTCATGTTTTATTCACCGGTGAGAAAACATTACAGTACAAAGCGCATAATATTACAATAACTACGCCTTACATTCTCGCTTGTTCTGCAGTAGCGTAATGGAACGCACTGATGATGTATCATATCTGCACGAACAGGATGCGCGGAGGTATGCAAATATATATATGTTCACAGGCAAGCAGGACAGCTTATTGTATCCCTTGAACAGAGGCATATGATTGGACAAACATTTTACAGTCCTACGCCTTCCACAGACGATATCAATTCATATAAATATTTTTTAGACCACTTAGTGATTGCTATCGGAGTGCGAGAAGACTTTCAACCAGCATAACAAGAAATGTTTTTGAACCAAATCACCTACCCTGCCTTTATTTTCTGACCCTAATATATAATTGCTTGTATTGACTGGAGTGTTCTTCAGTTCAGATTTTCTTATTCATTTTGTTGGTGAAAAAAAGCACAAAATCTGTGCTCTGCTTGATGAAATGTCCTTTACTTCTAAGCAGATAAAGTGAGAAACTGATACTCACTGAATACTCCACTCAGCCCTCGGGATATTTGCTGTGTGCCAACAACACATTTTGCTGCATGTGATCTCGCCTATCAGCTGCCTTCAAAGGCCAACTATATGAGATAATGTGTTCGCTGGTGTTGGACTACATTTCTAATAGAAATCCAGGACACTAATACCCTCCTCCCCTGACTCAACCCAAAACAATATAGACTGTTGGCTTGTTTCATTCAACACCTGTGAGCCACATATAAGGGATAGCATATTCATTTGCACTATTTTCCCTTAGTAGCAAAGCTGCATTTATTTGATCCAAAAAAAGTAATATTAATTTAATTTAAAATACCTGTTTTCTATTTAAATATATTTTAAAATATAATTTATTCCAGTGTTGCAAAGCTGAATTTTGAGCATCATTACTCCAGACTTCAGTGTCACATGATGCTTCAGAAATCATTCTAATATGATTATTTGCTGCTTAAGAAACATGTATTGTCATGATCAATATTGAAAACAGTTTATTTTTTGTGAAAACTGATTTTTTGAAAAGTTCAAGGAGTGGGCTGCGCTCTAATCTTTGTGTTTCTTTGCTTTAAACTGCACAGGCAGGGAGGTTCTAGCAGCCAATCGGGTGGATGGTGTGGAAGATCTTGCTTATGATTGGATATCGAAGAACCTGTACTGGACGGATCCACGCTACAGGAGTATATCTGTCATGAAGGTCGCGGATAAGTCCAGACGAACCATTGTACGAAACCTCAACAACCCCAGATCCATAGTGGTCCACCCAGTGGCTGGGTGAGTGGTTTATTGGCTAGTCTTGTTTGTAATATTGCTATTAATATATATATATATATATAAGAAAAGTAGTTAATACTATGGCTCTGCTGTCTGCTGCCAGGACAATTGAAATGAACATAACCGTAACCAATTTGGAATGCTTTACATAGACATAGTGCATTGAATTAGGTGTTATATTTATATTTTCAGTTTTAATTTTAGTTTAAGTTTTGATATTTGTGTTATGTGCTTTTGTCATTTTTTTAGATGTTTTTGTTTCTATGTAGATTTAATTGCTTTCATTTATTTTTTAGTTCAGTTTTAGCAATTTTTAGTACTTTAACTTTTTTTTTTTTTTTAGTTGCCAGAGGAATATTTCAAAATTTGATTTTATTTAATTAATTAATTAATTTATTTATTTATTTATTTTTATCTGGAGTCTTCCATTCAGGCAATGTCACCAAAAATATTTTTTTATTTTATTTTATAGTTTTAGTTGGTGATGTAAACTGTTATTTAATTAATTATATTTATAATCAATATTTGTCTTGCATTACAGGATACATAAATATGCTATAGTTATGCTGCTATTGTATCTTTTGAAAAAGCTTTCACTATGATGCCTTAATATGATGTCTTACGAGATTTTGGAACCATTGCTACTGTAGGCCAAAAGTTGCATTCACAAAATAAACACACTCAAACTTCCTCCTTCATGGAAAAACGGGTTGTGACCGTGAGTTTGAAATCACAGGCACGTTCAAATGTCAACAGACACAATTCAGCGAGCGACCGTGAGCCAGAAACACAGCTCTTTCACCTCGCCTCTCTGTTTCCCTAAGACCATGAAAAAGCATTAACAATCGGGCCACTTGTGTCCAGTCACACCTTTCATAATGCAGGAGGTGCCCAGCCATTCATAGATTGCTCCTGCTTTGAACCTGGCACAGATAAAGGAGCTCTTTATGCCATGCTAGTGGGACATTTCCAATGGCTTCAAAGTCATGAGGCCTCTGGGCCCAGGAGACTAGATTAGTGCTGCATGAAGGCCGGTATTGTAGTGCACACTAAGAACTTGGCTTAACGGGGGAAAACCCCGCAGAGCACTCAGATAAACTATCTATACCTCACAGTTTATAAATAAAACCCAGCGGATGGTTTCGAATGTGTCCCCACCTATTAATCTGGCTTTTGGTGAGGGCACAGGGTGAAGATTTGTGGTGATTTTGGAATTGTTCCCTCATCCACATGCCGTCCCAAACCTGTATGACTTTTGGCCCCTCTTTTCAGTTTAATAAATGAGGACTGGGGCTGGCAAACTCCAAAGTGAATGGTATATTATAAAAGTAGTCCATATGACTTCTGAAGACTTCAGAAATTGAAGAAATACAAAAGAAATAAAAAAGAACAATTTGAACAATCGAACATTTGTATAAAATATACTGTACATAAATATACTGTATATACAGTGCTGTTCAAAAGTTTTTTTATTGAAAGAAAATAATAGTTTTATTCAATTAATGAAAAGTGACAGTTAATACAATTAATGTGTAACAAAAGATTTCTATTTCAATTATATTCATCAAAGAATCCTGAAAAATAATATGAATAAATAACAATATAAAATATAAATATATATATTTTAAAAATATAAAATATATATAGTTTAAAATATAAAAATATAAAATCAGTTAATAATATTGCATATTTTATTTTTTAATAATATTGCAAGACTTCTTTTAAAAACATTTTAAATAATCTTATCAAACTTTTGAACGGTATTGCATATATGTTTATATAACTCACAAGTAATATGAACAACTTTTATTGTACATTTAAGGTAGATTTGCGTCCTTTTTGAAGCTTAAAAGCTCTAGTGCCCGTTCATTGTAATTGCATGTAAAGAAGCTTGTGTTCGTCTGCGGAAATATAGTAAAAAAAAAATAAATAGGTATGAGGGTGAGTAAATGATGACAGAATGTTTATTTTTGGGTGAACTATTTCTTTTAAAGCAGTGTGTGTCTTTGTGCTCGGCAGTTATATTTTCTGGACTGACTGGTACCGTCCTGCGAAGATTATGCGGGCCTGGGGTGACGGGTCACATGCTCAGTCGATTGTAAACACCACTCTCGGCTGGCCGAATGGTTTGGCCATTGACTGGAGGTGAGTAACAGTTCCCAGAATGAAACTACAATCAATACAGCATTCAGTTGTGCTCATAATACTACAAACAATGATCCATTTCTGTTTCATTCATAAACCTTCCTCTCTTTGCTTTAACTTCGATGGCTTCCTGAAGCCGTGATTCATCATTATTTGTTTTGTTGCACATTCAATAGCACACTCACTCCTAATCTCCTTAAATCATGATCTGACATAATCCTGTTTCTCAGCATTGGTCTAAAACTCTCTCTTGATCATGTCTCTGCCTCTCAGTGTCATGCGGCTGTATTGGGTGGACGCTTTCTTTGATAAGATCGAGCACAGCAACTTTGACGGACAAAACAGGTTGTCTTTGGATCGCATCACTCAGATCTCCCATCCGTTTGGACTTACTGTCTTTGGAGGTGCGTCTATCTATCTATCTATCTATCTATCTATCTATCTATCTATCTATCTATCGT